TTGAGGCATTGTAAATAAAAAAAAAAAAAAAAAAAAGCAAACTGGGGGCAGCAAGCGGCCGGGCGTACTGAACCTCGGTGGAACGCGTAGACGCTGTCTTTGTGCTGGCAGGTGAGGACCACCACGGTCCAGTTGAAGGTGGACATCTTAATCCTACTCGGGTCCCGCAATGGAAGCGACAACTTGCGGATTTATGATGTTTATCTTGGTACCAGCAGTTTGGAAAACAGCGAACTTGGTACCAGCTCAACTACTTGGAAGACAGCTAGCTAGCTGGCAGCAGACCAATTAAAAATAAACATGACTAGTAATCTAGTTTTCTATACGGCCTACACATCATATTTAGTCGGCAGTTACTTCTCCGGAGTAAAAGGTGAAGCTAAACGGACTTTGATTCAATGTTATCATCTAGACATTTTCGGAAGTAACTTTTTGGACTACTTGCTTTGCCGTAGCGGTATGAGTGGCAGTTAAATATGTTTTCAGAACGTCTCTACCGGGCGGAAACCAAAAAAGACTGAACATTTTGGAGAAAACGCGACAAATTTTAGTCAAATGCCAAGAAGCAAACATGGTGCTCAAAACAGTCCTTAAAAAATTAGCAATTTATGAAAATAGTTCATACATATATTGCTCAGCCCCAACCCCTTCATTCAGTAAATTTAAAATGGCATTTTTAAAAACCCTTTACTTTCTTTCTATAAGTGGGCGTTGACGAGCAAACTAATTTTACTCATTTTTATTTTTACTTCTGAACATCTTGAATCAATTTTTAATAGAACAGGCAAGCTTTTCACATTACCAGATGACCATTTGAAAGAACTCATTTTTTTATTGACAAAAATGTATAAACGAGATGAAGCTGTGGAAACCGAAACAAAAAAAAAGCCCATACTAGTCATGAACTAGACAATTCAACATTTTATATACACATTTACATTTAAAATTCAGACATCTTCATTCATCTTCCTCCTCCTCCTCGGCTGGCAGTGGCCGGGACCTGCATGCACATGCAAAAAAAAAAAATAATAATAATAAAAATAACATTAGCAAAACATCCCTGCACAAACTCAGTACCACTCCGAAGAAGACTCTCTCTTCACAACATTAAAGTCGCATTCTTATTCATGAAAGAGATCTGATGGCTCAAAAATGGGAGTGACCACAGAGCCACCGACAATAAAGTCGCTGCAGAAGATGTGGTAGTGGAGCAGAACCCCACGCAGTAAAACTTAGACCCAAACCCACGTACTTCTTGCTGGTCTTGGATACACCACTGCCTCCAGCCTCTTCGTTGTCATCCTCCTCCTCTTCGTGGGGCTTCTGGTTCTCTTTCTCCGGCTTTGTTCCTGGACCCCCGAAGAAGTCCCCGATGCCCTTCTGCCAGGTGGGGGTGGGCCGAACGCACACAGGGTTCCCTCCGGCATACTTGTTCTTTGCTGTGTGGGGGGGAAAAAAAACTCAGCATCCGGCTTGTGCACTTTAAATAAGAGTGTGGGTGTCTGACCAGGAGTTGACGACTGAGGGGATGAGGAAGAGGCGGCGGTGTTGGCCACACTGGAGCCCAGAGACTTCCTGGGTGCAGAAGCTGCAACAGCTGCAAGAAAAATTATCAGATTGAATGTCAACACACAAAATGGCCTTGACTTCATCACACGATGTGCGTTCCTTCGTTGTTATTTCAAGTGGCGAATTGTTCAACAGATGCCAAATGTCTTCGACGTAGCCGAGCTCTAGGGCGCACTTTTTTGTTTGTATCAAAGAGCAAGAGAATCATAAATCATGCCGAAAACCCAACATGTTCTGTCCGTTTCAACGAATATTGGCACCGGGTCCCGAATTCGTGAAAAACTCTTGATAAAGAAAATACAATGCTCACGAGAGGGCATCCAATGTGCGTAAACGTACCCGTAATCTTTCAAACATTTGTCTCCGAATAAATTGAAAACTACGTTTTGGCGGGAGGCTGACTTGCTGTGGACCTTGAGGTGACTTGAGGACAAGTCGAATCCTCGTCCGAATAAGTTTTAACGTCAACACTTGATCCAACGGAAAGGCTGACCCAAGTCACGTTGGGTTTGTTAGGAGGCAACTCGGAAAGGGTCAGCGAACTAATATGAGACTTAGTATGTGAGGACGGCGTACCTTTCCTGTAAGATCCGGGGACACTGTCCGCTTTGGTCCGCACCATTTTGTCTGCGGTCAGAGTTGAGGAGGACAGAAAGTCAGGAAGTGAATGTTGTTACAACAGAAGGACGAAAAAAGACTGAAAAAGTGCACAGGCTGTCGACTGGCGACCCGCTTGAATTCCCGCCTTGATTCAAGACCATAATCGAATGGAGCGGGAGAGTTCTTCTTCGTCGATGTATGGCGGCTTTGCTCTATACCGCCCTCTAATGATGAAACGGTGTCATTGCCGAGAAAGGCTCCATATTCAAAGGTGAAGTTTTCGAACTGGTTTGCACAATTATTCAGAAAATCAATTAAATATATGAGCTATTTGTCCAATAAAACTTGGTATCGGTGAGCTTTGTTTCTCTCCGAGACGCAACAGGAAGTATATCATTTACGTAGATTGTTTCAGACAGATGTTTCATTAATTCCAAAGATGCTTTATTATTAGTATTAATCATAACAGGATACCACCATCCAGTATCTTATCTCAAAGGATCTCTCTCGCTCTTTAATATAATCGTAGTCGCTTGTTTCGAGTGTGTGAGTACAATGTGAAAGTGTATTTTAAGGTTTGACCGATTGAAAACTCATGACTCGACTGGTTTGTTTAGGTGACGCCATGCTTGTCCCTCGACGGCCTCCGTAGTGGCGGCAGCTGCTTGGTCTTCAATCGTTTCACGTCAGAAGTTTGGCCAAAAAGAAAAAAAAGCAGACGAAGAAATAAAGGTTTGTCCAACACATTTTGGCTCTTTGCGGGTCACTTTTCCCCGAGTTGGTGTCACCTGTGTGTAGTTGAAGACCCTTGCATGCGCTGCGAAAAACTTGTAAGGTCGCTCGTTAGCTGTTTCCAAAGTTACCCCTTCGCCTGTTAGCTTAGCCGCCGCTCGCCGGTTACTTTTGCACATTTGCTCACGTTTGAGGTGGTCCGAGAAGGACCGTTTCATGTTTGCGCCTTGCACCGGGGGAAGCTTTCTCATATTTCCAAAGTCAGAGAAGTGGTACAAGTTTCTGAAAGAAATCTAACTTTTCATACAGCAAGTTGTCAAATTTGCCACGGATGATGTTTGGCACCAATGCCAACCTCAGATTACGTCTGGTCCATCATTTCATGTGTACAACTGAAGATAATTCAAAACTGGACATTGTTTCTACTTGGTTCTTGCCAAATTGCTTTGCTCTTCTCATTTTCATCTAGAATCTGTTTACTTTTTTTTCGCTTGCAACACATTAAACGTATTTTCTTCACCAAATCCCTTAATAGAAGTGAGACAATACTTGTAGACTTAAATGTCAGCAGACCAAATCAACTGCAGGGACAAAACCCGTTTATGAGTTTGTCTCTGTCTTGACGTCCCTAGAGGGAAAGCGGGACAATGGTGTCACCCCTGACGAAAATGAATCGGACACCCATAATGTATCATGCTGACATATTTTCATTGTGTTAGATTCCACTTGAAAGATTGTTAGTGAAGGTTGGATCGACGTATTGTTGTGAATGCAGACTGTTGATGATCAACATGACTGACTTCGCTCTTACTCATAACAGCAATCTAATAAAAAGGTGTTCGTTCTTGCTGCGTGCGCAGGCGTGGCGGCCATGGACGACGTCACCCGTCTGATGTCCACAGGAGACACGGTGAAGATCTGGGATGCGGATTCCATGACGCTGCTGGAGCAGTTCAACCCGCACAGCGGCAGCCACCCAGTGGCGCAGGCCTGCTGGATGGCAAACAGTATCCTCGGCTGCAATCGGCATCCGCCTCCCGCCTCTTGAAAACGGGGATCGCTTAGACATCGGAATGTTTTCAGTGAGGAGCTTAGCCTACCTCCCGAATTGCGCTGAAAGCGTTGCCGCGTTTGCTCCTTGACGCTGTTGGCAGATCAGCATGTGGTGAGCGCCAGCAGCAGCGGGGACAAAGTTGTCGTGTCCAGTCTGAAGTCTCCTGACATTCCTCTGCTGGAGCTCGCCCAGGGGGTGAGCGGACACCCGTCGTCATCCTTTTCGCCACCGTTGTCCGCCACGCTCGCTGACACCTTGTCCCTTCCAGAAAGGACAAACACGCGTCAGCCTCAGCTCGTCCTCCCAGTTCGTGGCCAGCGGAGGTCTGGACCGCTGCGTCCACATTTGGGACTTGAAGACGTCCAAGCTGCTGCGCTCGCTCAAGGTGGGACACCGCCGCCATCCTCGTCTCGATCTTTGTGGTCTAACATGCCGTCGTGCGCCCAGGATCACGGCGACGAGGTCACGTGCGTGTCCTTCAACGCCAACGACAGCCTGCTGGCGTCCGGAGCTGCCGATGGCCATCTCGTCCTCTACAGTCTCACCACCAACACGTCCAGCAAACCCTTCGGATACGGAAGCCAGCAGGTGGCGCGCGCTTCTTCCTCTCTACCGTCAGCAAATTTTCTTCGATTTTTTTATTTTTCCATCCTCATATTCTTCCTTTCTCCTTGTTTTGTCTCCTTTCCTCACTCCTCCTCCTGCCTGCTGTCTCCCCGTCGCCTCGTTTCGCCTTAGCCGGTGCGCGACTTGGGCCTGTCGTGCCTGAAGCGCTCTCTGCTGGGGAGCGTGTCGGATGGCGGCTGGCTGACGCTGTGGGATGCCAACACGCAGAAGGAGCTCCACGCCTTCCGGACCGCCCACAAAGCGCCCGGCTCGGCCGTGGCCTTCTCGCCCGCCAGCGAGCTGCTGGTGGTCAGCGTTGGCCTGGACAAGAAGATCGTCTGCTACGACACGGCCAGCAAGATGTGAGCCTCGCCGCGAGCCTCGCGTGTGAGCACGAGTGCTCGTATCGCACGAGCAGCAGCGCTCGTATCACATGGCCTTTTGCAAATGACCATGCCCGATGAGCTGTCTGACCGCCATTCGATACAGATGTTAGCATTTAGCACGTGTGTGTGTGTGTGTGTATGCGTGCATTTTGTCAGCATTGTGCGTTCGATCCGTGCGGAGAGCCCACTGACGTCGGTGGCCTTCACTCCCGATGGCTCAGGCGTGCTGGTGGGTTCCACCCAGGGCGACATCTTGCGCTACGACTTGAGGAACAGCAGCGCCCCCACCAGGGTGACGCCGGCGCACGCCACCTCCGTCACCTGTCTGCGCTTTCAATGCGCCACCGCCAGACACAAGGTGGCGCCGCTCGCTCACTCACTCTGTCACACACTCCCAACCCCCCAGCTACTAAATAGAATATTTTTACATCGTGGACTATATAGTTGACTTTAGGACTGAAAGGATGAATTGAATACTCTCAAATACTACCACGCGAATTTCATGTCGTTGACCCTTGGGCTAAATGAATCGATACCTCCAGCAGCAGTGATGGTGACCATAGCTTTTGTGTTCCTGGACAGTTGGGCAAAATGTCTTCGTCCAGGGTGTCTGGCACCAAGAGCTCCGCCTCCAAACTGTGCAGCGGACAGCTGAGCCCCGCCCTTAACTCCTCCCCTCACATAAATGCAGGTACATTCTTGTCACGTATCTTCTGGAGGTAAAGCGCTCCTTCCAGCTTGCGTTGTTTTCTGCAGGTGGAGTCGGAGCGCAGGTGGCCAGTCGAGATGCGGGCGGACAGCAAGGGGCAGAGCAATTTGCCGTCGCGGAGAAGTTCAGCAGCGTCGGACGAAACAGCCTCGACATGTTTTCGCCACTCCGACAAGGTGACAACACGCAGCCGCCGACGAGCGCCGGCGAAACGTTCGGAGCGGCTCAAGGTGTGTGGCGACGTCTTGACGCTCATCGCCTGATAGCGCAGAAGCTAACAGTGTTGTCCGTTCCAAAGCAACCGCGTTGAGCAAGGAGGCGGGGCTTCCTCAGATCTGTGGCCGCGGCAGCCTGGAGATGTTCTCGCCACTCAGAGAAGGTCAGACCGCCGACGTCGCCCCAAGGAAGCCGTCAGCAGGGCGACTCTTACGTCCGACCTCCGCCTACCAGACGCCCACCATCAAGGAGGAGGAGTCAACCCAAGTCGGTGACGCTGACGTGGTCGTGAGCCGGACCACACAGCATTTCAAATTGTGAACCGGAAGTTGTGAATATGGTGATGTTTAACAGGTGGAGATGAGCGACTTCTCCCCCAGCCTGGAGGGGGAGGGTCAGACTCTGACCAGCTCATCCCGGCCCGCCAATTGTAGCCACTTGGTTCCGCCCTTCACTCCAGAGCTTCGAGTGAGAGCCAGCGGCGTTCAAGCTCAGCTCGACTACGACTCACCTGCCGCAGGTACGGCACCTTATCGGATGGATGGATGGCAGTGGGCGGGGCTTGTCATCGGGCACCCACTCTTCTGTCGCGTTCAGACGCAGCGGCGCCGGCTGTGACTGAGGCGGCCGGTGGTGCGCCGGCTCCCTTCAGCGGTGTCCTCATGAACGCCATCACCAGCATCATCCACCAATCATTGGATGAGCTCAGGTCAGCCAAATATCTTGGCTTCCCGCCTCTCTGCATGCGTCACATCCAGTGACTCGCCGTGTCTGTGCGCATGGGCGTCACCCGACTTACTGTGCGTGTCCGCAGAGACGCGTGCCACCGGGACATTATCAACCTTCAGGTGGAGATGATTCGCCAGTTTTGTATCCAGCAGGTGAGCAAGCGCTGCCATCATTGAGGACGATGACACCGGCGGGGGTGAGTCACATGCGTGTGCGTGTCTCGCAGAACGAGTTCCAGGCGCTGATGTCTGCGCAGCACTCGGCCAACGAGGCGCTGCTGCAGGAGAACCAGCGGCTCAAGGAGGAAAACCTTCGCCTCAAGACCAACTACTGAAGACACAATTTACATTTATGCTCATTAAAAGTTGCCATGTGATCAGCGCGTCGAGTGGAGCTTGCACAAACACGAGCAACGCAGGATGGGCAAAAGTTGGCACTTGATTCCGAGATTAGCAGCAACAACAAAAAATGCAGAGATCGCAAGGAGGCTTTCAAATTTAAAAAAAAAAAAAAAAAAGGATGTGAAATCACCGGACTCATCACAAGCAAGATGAATACATGTCTCTTAAAGCTATTGCTAATTTTAAAAATTCAACATAATTTAGATAGTTTATGTATAAGTCTGATTATTTTATTGCCCCCCCCCCACCCCAAAAAAAAGATGGCATCTTTAATTTAGAACGGCAGCGACTACAAACCTGCGGCAGCCTCGTTTGAAAAAAATATGCTCACACTGCCCAGTGATCAGGCAAAGTGTTAATCGGACCACGATAAATTAGTCAGAAGTCATGTGGCATTTGAATATTTGAAAGACTTTATAACAAGTCAAATGGCCCAATTTTTGGACTTTGGTTGGTGGCTTGAAAGGAGGCGGGGCCTATTTAAGGTCAACAAAATTCGAGTTTTTATTAAGAAAGATGAGAACAACACATGCATGCAATGTACAAGAGGTCAGAGGTCGGCCAGGTCGACTCTGCATATGGGGCAGGTGGTGTTATCCTGACAACGACAAACAACAGCAAAGTCACCGATGGCAATCATATGAATACCGATAATCCATTGGAACGATGACTGGTTGGATTTTTTTTCCCCTCTGCATGTAGAAAAACATGACAATGACATTCAATATTTTTTCTCCGCTTCTTTGATTGAATTTTCCTTAACAACACAGGTACACTTGAAACAAACGTTATTTTTCCCGCATCAGAGAAATAAATCCGTTTTTTCACTCTGGAAGAAATTGGGCAAACATTACCAAAGTCCAACCACGATCGATTGCAAAAGGTATCGGGTGGCCTCTCCAGAATACTTTAAATCAATCAGGACAAGAAATGCACAAACAAATTTTGGAGATAAGTCTGGCTTGGTCCGTTACATCCACCGGAATATCTGCCAAAGTGTCTGATTGTCAAAGCGCATCTTTACAAATGTCTTTGAAAAGACACCAAGAAATGGCCAAATAGTTGTTGATTGATTTATTGTGGCGACATTGCACAACAAGGCTGAAGCACCTCGCAAAAATAAAGAAATAAAGGATAAAAACTCACCCGCAACCAGCGGTCGATACAGGCCACGTGGTAGTCGTGGAAACATGGCAACATCCTCAGTTGATCGCCATCGTCGTAGTCGCCGAAGCAGATCTGACATCTGGCGGGGCAAAGCGCACGTGAGTAAGGCGCAGACGGCCGGCTGGAGGCGAAGGCCGCAGCACTCACCGCGCGTTGCCAGCGCCCGGCCGGAAGCACTTGACGGGGAAGCGCAGGACTTGGGTGCGTGGCAGCTTCTTGGACACGACGGCCCCCTGCTGTTCCTCCAGCGCCAGGAGCGCCTGCGGGTGACGCGCACACTCGACATAAACGCAACCGGGAAATCTGCCACGCCGACATTGTCCGATGTGCTCACCTCGTAGTCGTCGTCGTCGGACAAGTCATCCGCGGTCCTCTGCTGGCGTCTTCCGCGGCGACCTATCCCTCGCCGTGGTGAGCGGTCGGCGTGAGCGTGGTGGAGCGCGTCGTGCTGCAGAGACGGTTAAAGGGAAAAAGAAGACGGTTCCAGTCGTTTTCGGTCCATTTGATCGATTATCCCGGTTGACTGTCAATTAGTGTGCCTTGACAGCTGGGGAAAAGATCACATTTCACATTCATGGCCCAAAAATGATTCAATGCAACTTGGTTTCTTGAATTATAGTCAATGTTTTATGTTATGTGTTCTGTTGTAATTTTATGTTGCATGTTCTGTTAAGATCTTTGTTACAGCTACAACTGTTGTGAAGGCGCTATCGACTGGTAAATAAAGATGGATTGTATCTATCTAGGCTAGCGCTTTATAGAGACAACCGTGCCAGATGCATTTTACTCGGTAACTTCGCCAATGGCCGCGGTGACCGCACGATAACCAAGATGAGCTTGTCCTGGTCTGGGGAAGGACGGTATCGCGTCACGGCGCCATCTCGTGGCGCAAGTCCCCAGTTGACGGTGTTTCCCGTCACCAGAAAGGGAGAACTTATCAGCCTTTCACGGTGGCGTCCTATCGGAGCCCAAAGACAAACAGACTTTTTGGGGGGAGGGAACAAGAAGGCCTTCGTCATCCTTCCATGCGTCGTCTTTCAATGTCGTCGGAACATTTCAGACGCCGACGCAAAGAATTCATTTCCATGGGGAAAACAGATTTCATGTGCGAGTCAGCTGAGTTGCAAATCAACCGGGGATTCAAGGTCGAAAAAAAGGACAACGATGTCATCATCGTCGTCACGGCGACGTTCGCCGGCTGAAGCATCAACCTTGTCGACTACTCGGCTATGCCGCCGCGAAAATGATGATGTCACCACAACAGCGCTTACCCTGTGATGATGTCGGTGATGTGACTCCGCCTCCTCTTGGTCAAAGTGAGCCTGTAAACAGGAAGTGGTTAGCGAGCTGGTGGTGACATCTCAAGGTCCCGGAAGAAATGGCCGCGCCCACCTGCAGGCTTCGCGCAAAAGCTTCGTCTTCCTCCATCTGCACCGCGCGAACCGACAAGTCGCCGTCGTCATCGTCGATGACAACATCCTGCACTGCTGCTGCGTGCGCACACACACACACACACATCCTGTAGCCACCTTGATCATCAGTCAACTTTGACCTCCTCTTACTGGCTTGCAAAACAAACCCTATCCTCTGCTATTCACTGAAAATTCACCTATTCGCTACATTTGTCCTCAGGACATCTTGTCACATGTTGGTATCAAGGAAAGGATTCTTTGGTTAATGAGGGGGGCGGGGGGAGCGATCAACAAAACGATTGTTATTTAGAAGTATTGGCTCGTTGTGGCCCGAATGAATAATTTTGGCGAGGACAGAACACATTGCAAATAAAGATTCAGGTAATGAATTGTCGCCATGGGGATGGCTCTCCTTTACCTGTTGAGGCAGCGTGCTGCTCGCCGCTCAGCCACCTCCTCTCCTCCGCCGTCAGGAAGGACAACGAGTCGGACGGCGAACCGACCGCCGGCTTCGCCACCACTTCCGAGGTCATCGTCACGGGGGAGGATAAGGATGACGACGAGGATGACGAATACGAGGACAAAGCAGGGGAAGCATCCAGCCAGCCGTGGACGGGAGACAGTCCTGTGGCAGACACGGCCATCAGGCCGCGTTCCTCCCGCGCCGTCGCTAGCTTCCTGCGCTTAGGCGGTCCGGACGCACCGACGGCGGCGTGGGAACGTTTCGCTCGAGCCGCTGAACGACGTGTCATCACCTGTGGACGCGCACAACAGATGTCGAGGAGCAAGGAGATTCCGTTGAGACCACCGTGTTCAATTAAATGTCACCATAACGACTAGATGGAGCAAAAAGAAAGTTTTGGACTCACCGGGCTGGACGGGTCCTCTGCAATACGTGTCCATCGCCTGACCTTGGTGAGCTGCGGGCTGACACAAAACAACATTCAAACAAAAAGAAACAACAACAACAATCACATAAGTAAAGCTCCTCCGTTTTCCCAAAAAGAATAGTGTCACTTCGAGTGACTCACTTGTGTATTTTGCAGTTTGCTTATCATGTTCATACAAATCTATAGTCTCATTATGACTTGTTATACAAGGGCATGTTCTCTCGTGTCCAGAACTCCGTCGTAAACAGGGATGGCGCTACACAGAGGTTAGGGGGCCTTTTGCCCCGTCGGAAATCTGTGTAAGTTCCTCCATCGTTTAATTTGATATTCTAAAACATACGTGTAAATTATTTTCTCAGTCATCTGAAGTATCAGACAAGCCCCTTTTAGCCCCGAGAGAGAAAAACTCCTGGAGCTGTCCTTGGTCGTAAAGCGATTGTTAAGCGAGGACCTCTGTGTCATGTCCGGTTCGGTTGGATCACGGCGGTTCCTACCTGGGAGTCTCTGGGACGACGAGCGACAATTCGTCCACGAGGAAAGCTCGGTCCAGTTGGTCGTCTTCAGCACCGCTCCAGTCGGCCGTGAGGGAAGACTCCATTCTCAACATTCCCCATCCACTAAAACACAAACAGCAACAACACTCGGTGACATTGTTACGTTTAGACATCAACATTTCCTCAAGTGTGACGACGTTGTTATACCCCAAAACGATCCATTCATTCAATAAACACTAACGGCTAGCATCGTTAGCATCGGGAGGAGACAAAAATAGTGCATTGTAATGAACGGTCCAAATCAACACCAAAAGTTAGAAGAAATAGGATATGCACATTTTTTTTTACACGGATCAAAATAATGAATTCAGCAAATTAATTATTTTCGTGTTTTGTGTGTAACGGGAAAAAAACAGTTTACCGCAGTTTTAGGCAGGAAGTGGATGACGACTTCCGGTGCCCACAAACCAATGACCAAAACGTTAAAATATTTTAAAAAGTGTCCTCCTCATACCCCCCGGTTGTCCTTTCGTAGACTAAACACAAACGAATAATTTACGGTTAATAATAAACACCAGAAGATCCCCAAATCAACGCGTTAGAGTTTGAACATGTGGAACAGCAAAATGTGCTCGTTGGTGAATGAACACACGACAGAAAATAGACGTTCCGTTTACCTAGGCGCCAACATTCAAACCTCGAAAGATGACTACGTAACATATTTACATTTGTATAATACCATCCATTCAATCATTTCTAACACCGCTTTTCCTAAACAGGGTAGCAGGAGCCGATCCCAGCTGACTTCGGGCTGAAGGCGGACTACACCATGAACTGGTCGCGACTCAGTCGCAGGGCGTATTTAAAGATAAACAACCATTCCCACCCACATCCAGTGGATGGGAACCGCACCCAAGCTACCGTACACAGGTCAGGCGAGTGTACCACTACACCATCAGCGGCGGGATTGTGTAGTATTTCATTAAAAAATGTGAATTGTCTGGTGCTGTTTATTCCGCTTCAACTGAATAAATAGAGAACAGTGCGGTCTTTACCATGTACGTCACAGTTCCGAGGTTTTAGTTCCATCCTCGGCTTCTGACTTCTTGTGTGATGTTCTTCATGTGTTTGCGTGGGGTTTTCCACGTTCCCAAAGTTGAAGATTTAATCGTCCAAAAGTTTAAATGTCTGCATGTGCCTTAACATTTTTTTTGCGACTTGTCAGTTTTGTTCAAGAGTTATCAATGATGTTTTGCAGTAAAAATGTACCCCCGAAAGTAGGTTGAGGTTTTAATTGTTTTTATTCCTCCAAACAGAATTAAACCTTCACATTGTGTCCGAACACTGGGAACAAAACAGTGCCCCCGACAGGTGGCTCGAGCGGACAGAAAACCACCCCGAAGTGCTTCACGTTATCTTTTCCAACACTGAACAGAAGATGAACACGCATGCTGGAGAAGAAGAAAAGTTGACGTCGGTAAGGTCAACAAGATGAGCTGAGAGGAGTCTAGAAGAGCATGCTCTGCAGGGACTTGCGCACGGATGCCATTTCCTGTTGTTGCTGCCAAAGGACAAAGCGCAAGATGATTTCATGTCAGCGCGTGAACTCGACTCGACTCACAGTGTCCATGAGGATCTTCTTCTGCATGGTGGCCATCTCCTTCCTCAGCTCCTGCTGCGCCCGATGAAGGATGTCCTCTTGGCTCTTCTCCATCTCCTCCATGTTCTGCGCACACCAAATGCCACAAGAAGACTCCCCTTAACCATTTGAGTCGAACTCACTTCCTTGTTTTGAACTATTTCAGATATGTTGATGCAAATGGTGAAAGTTCCCGAGGGTGGGTAGGCGATCGAATCGCCGGAGAACGGAATGAGCGGGACCAATGCGAACTGCAGGAAAAGCATTCAACAAAAATCTTGAAATTGCCAGGCTTCGTCTGTCTGTGACCTAAACATGTCCACAAATAAGCTGAAAAGGGAAGTCAAACCCAACAAGGCCACCTGAGGTTAAAAAAAAAAAAAGACATGCTTGTTGAAGGAAGACAGGTGTGTGTCCAAATTCCCAAATTCCAAAATAAGAGCGCGAAATCCAAACAGGAAAAGTGATTGCTGTTGTTTTTGACCTTGACAAAGTGCTTGAAGAGCTCTTGCAAGGTCTCCACTTTCTGCTTCTGAAGAACTTTGCTCTGCTGGATCACCTTCTGCTGCTGGCGCATCAGATTCTGAACGCACGCGCACACACAAACACACCAAAGACCGTTAGAGCTTGCTTAAAAGGCTTCAAGCCTCATGTGACAAAGCGGCAGGTGCAATTCTTTTTTATTGGTTTGGCTGCTTGAGCAAATTTTCGTGTTTGGAGTCGGCTGCGTGCTGCCTAGAACACGCACAAAGCCGGGGCCGGAGTTTGTTTCCCTTATTTTTTTTCTCTCTCAAACATTATAGCAATGGCATTTTCTATTGATATCAATGTCGTGTCTATCGCGATAGATTTTGTTTTTTAATTTGTTTACTTCCATATCCCCTGAAGGGACTCCACCCTTTCATGTACAGATGTTGCAAAAGAAGAGTATTTAAAAAAAAAAAAACAAGCATGGCAAATAGTTAACTGATCAAATGCACAGTATAAATTGCTCAGCGTGAGTTGTGTTTCACGTGTGCGCGCGCACATTGAGCTTTTCCTCCTGCTCCTCCACTTGCTGAACCTCAAGCTGCCACTGCTGCAGAACTGACGACAACTGCTGAGAACATTCCTGAGTCATCTTCTGCCTGCGCAGATACACACCAGCAAGACATAAGGACCGAAGCAGAACACGAGTTGCATGTCGGGGAAGACATGACATCATTCGCACGGACGCAAGCGGGCAGGCGGGCATGTCATCATACCTCTGCTTGTGGTAGTCGTTCCACAGTTGCTCCATTTTCTGCTGACCTCCGTTCATGTAAGTCTTGGTCAGACTTTCCAGACGCTTGCGCTTGGTGAGCATCACCTTGTTGATGTCAGCTGTGCGGGCGCACGCGTACGCACACGCACGCACGCACGCACGCACACGCACACACACACACACACACACACACACACACACACACACACACACCTTGTTGAGCTGTGCAATATAAAAACATATATTGTAGATGAAATATAAAACTATTGCAGCATATAATTTGTTTTCTGTTGAAAACCACAATGTACGAAGGCCATTCACTATATGCTCTAAGATGACTTTTTACCATAAAAGTGTAATATTGATAGGTTACTTTTTATTTATTTTGCTTTTCCATGTAATCTCAAAGTACTGCAACACATTTCTTCCATCGGTGTACATGTTTTGAATGAATGAATGAATGGAACATTGCAAACCTTGAATGGATATGGGTAGGTACCCTTAAAAGATTTTAATTTGTTTTAATAGACTTATTTGGTTGTTGTAAATTCTTGTGTATTTCTTTAGTACACATGTGTCAAAGTGCCGGCCCGCGGGCCAAATCCGGCCCGCGAGAATGTTTTCAGTGGCCCCTGGGATGATATTGATTTATTATTAGAACCGGCCCGCGGACCGCAGCAAGCCGAGAGCCCGCAGATCTTTTACACGCACCAAGACTACATTTCCCACAATGCAACGGTGACGCGCCAAGCAGTCGGCCGCTTTATTTAAATATTTATTAGTCTAGCAGTCGTTCCCATAACAGTGACATTAGCTTTCAGATACCCATCAAAAATGGCAAAACGGAAGGTGGACACTGAGAACCGGGGGTTTCAAACAAGGTGGGAGTCGAAGTACATGTTCATGGACGTAGCTGGAAAACCTGTGTGTCTTCTGTGCGGAGAAAGTGTGGCGCGATTGAAATAGTGTAATCTGAGACGACATCATGAAACGAAACACGCGAACAAAAACAAGAACATGGACATGGAGGGGGAAGGGGGATTTCATTAAAAACGGTATACTTAAAGTTTGTGACGAAGTTTACCCCGAAAAAAAGCAACTCTTTTTAAACGTGAGCATTAGCAGAAACACAATTGTAGTGTTTCTGCAAAGATACGGCAGTGCGTGCTGCGCAGTTTGCCCCTTTCCCCCCCGACACAGTGGCCCCGCTGCGCATCCAGGCTGCTCAAACGTTGTCGAAAGTTTGGCAGCACATACGTGTGTGAACAACTATTTTCTTTGATGAAGCTGAACAAAACATCACACAGAAGTCGATTTACTGCTGAACACCCTCACTCAATTTTGAGGATTTGCTCAGCTCAGAGCTGACCCCAAATATTGATGAACTTGTAGAAAAGTTAAGACACCACCGAGTATCAGCCTCAGCCTCAAAGAAGTGAATATTACTTATAATATACTGTGCAATCACATACTAAGAGTTTTTACTCAGTTCAAGTTTAAAAATTAAAGTATATTTGCTTTCGCTGCTTGTTACTTCT